TAAATAAATAAACATATCTTTGCTCTAAAGTAAACCATGTCTCTATGCTTCTAATGAATATACCGAACTGCCCTAGTAAGGAAATATTCCACTTTCACACCGCTTCATATCCCGCCCTGTTGTATTAGAGATCCCTGTCGCTGTATGCTATGTTGCAGGTGGTAAATTAAGAAGGCTATCCCACTTGTAACAATATATTTACTTTACAGATTTCAAAAAATAATATTTTTAATTTTTAAAAAAAATTTTTATATAAAAAAAAGTTTTATAATAAAAGAAATTTTTTAAAAAAACTAGTGATCTACAAGCGATGGACCAAAAATAACGCATAGATCTATCAGCTAAGATCTATCAGCTAAATACAGTAAAATTTTTTCTTTTTTTCACTTAATTATTATTTTTCTTTCTTTTTTTATTTAATGTTGCTTTTTTTTTTTTTTTTTTTTTCTACCTGCACTTTTTTAGCTTTTTGTTTTAATTATTTCTGGGCTATAAATTCCTTTTTGTGTTTTATTTTATTAGCCTTTTTTTAGCTTCTTCCTTTGCTTCTCTTAATAATTTTAGCAATACTTCGTTGGTAAAAAGCTGAGAAAAAGGCATAGTTTTTTGCTTTTTTTTTAAGGATAGCTGGGGCTCAAGCTAGTTCTCAGTATTAATCTTTTCTTCCGTCGAATTTGAATAATAAGGCAGAAGATATTTAAAGATCATTCGTAAAGATATTGTACCTGGCTTTTTGAAGGTTTCCAATTTTTTATTTGCTGCTTTCAACTCAGTTTTTAATTCTTTGACCTTTGCATTAAGATTTTAGCTTTTAGTATAGTATGGTGGCATACAGGATTTTGATTTGGTATTGGAGAAGAAAAGTGTAAAGAGAGTTGTGAGAATTGTGAGGAAGATTGTAAAAAAGACTGTAGAAAAAATGGTAAAGAAAGTTGTAGAGAAAAGTGTAAAAGAGAAGTGTGTGAAGAGTACAGAGAAGAGTGGAAGATTGTGAAGAAGACACTATAGATGCGAAAAGTAAATTAATTGATTGTGATAGAAGAATATTAATCTATTCAGTAACTAGAAAAGAATCAAAACAGTCAGGGCTAATCACACTGGAATTAAAAGACCATATCCAGTTGCTTTAAAAGCATTACAAATTGTTTAAGTTTTAAGGTATATTGGACTAAAGACCTTAGCAAATATGTGCTTAGTTATGAACTTTTCATTATTACTAACATGAAGTTGTTTACAGCTTTTATGGTACACTTGTTTAAGCTGTGCAAAGGGAAGTTCAGCTAGTTGAAGTATATAAGTAGTATGGGTGGAAGTGTATATAGAAAGATATTGTTATTATGACAAATATTAACATTAATATAGCTAATATGACTTTTATATCTATCAAGAATCAAAAGAACAGGGTGAGCAGGTGGAATTGAGCAAATAAAATGCTCAATATACTTTTGAAAAAGGGACTCTCGCATATATTCTGTATCTATAAATCCCATAACAGTACCAAGAGGTGCACCTTTTAAGAGACCTGAAATTACACACTTTCCTTTATAAATAATAAGTAGTGAAATGTATGTTTCAACAGCAGAGATGGTTGGACACACGGAAATATGCTCATTAGAATTTTTATGGGTAACTTGATGAACCTGTTATTAGAAAGGTAAAAAACATGTTTTATAATAAAATTTAAATTATAATTTAGTAATATTAAAAAAATTAATACTTTATTATTATAATTATTTAGATAACAGACTAGTGCTCTTAATAGATTTGATTTGAATAACCTGAAACTGAACTAAAACTGAACTGTATATAGAAAATTTATTATGTGGATTATAACCTATATAATAAATTTACTATAGACAGTTCAGTTTCGGGTCATTTAAATCAAACCCGTTAGAAGCACTAATACAAACAAAATTTACTATTTTTACCTGTAGTGCATTCTTTTTCGCAATAACTTTACAAAGTTTAGGATTGAGAACGAAGCCTGTTTCATCCATGTTCCAGATTCTATTAGCAGTAAGTAAATGTTTTTTGATAATTTCCTTAAGCTTGTTAAAATGATCTTGCATTACAATAGGATTGACTCTTTGTGCTCATATCTTATTTAAGGCCTAAGAAACATGAAATAAAAGCTCAAGATGATTTCTCATAAAATGTGTCCACCAAGACTTTCCCAGCCCACTTTCATTAAAAGAATATTGTCTTTTATTTTTTTTGATGATTTCTATAACACAATGGTTAACACCTGATTTTGTTAACCCAAACCCAAGTCTTTGTATATTTAGACAATAACCAACTAGTTATTGCTCTTCATAGTTGGTTAAGACTTTGGCAGGACCTGGACGATCTAAATAGCCATTATTTTTTATAGCATGCTTTAAGGTTGCTTTAGAAATGCCAAATCTATTTGCAATTTTTCGATTAAAAGTAGTTAGAGAATTCTTAACTTCCTTAAGAGCACTTTCAATAAGAGTATGACGATCATCATATAAAAATATACTGATTTATTGATTAATTTGATTTATTGAGATTAATTTGATTTATTGAGATTGATTTAATTAATTTTATTTATTTAATGAGAAAATTAAAGGCAAATTGGACTTAAGTATATTTATTTTATTTTATAGATACATATCACTAAATTTAGAGATATTAACAGTCTAGTCTAGTTCAGTTTAGTCAATTTTGGTTCAAGTCTAGTCTGGTCTATTATAGTCTTTAGTCTTAAGAGTTTGCTAGTCTAGACAAGTTCAGACTAGTCCAGTTTTAAAACTTAAAGCAAGCCAATTTTTTTAAAATTCAAACTGGTTTTAAGACTAACTGTAGTTTATGACTAGACTATATAACATCCCTAGTCACTAACATGAATTTCACAATATAACAAACACATGAATTTATTTAATAATATGAGTACCAGATTAACCTGCTTCTAGCATTTGAACTAAGATATCAAGATAAAATTAATTATATTATTAAAAAGTATAATGAATCAATTGCCGACTTGGAAAATTATTAAGAATTAAACTAAAAGATACCTGGGTGGCGGAGACACATACAAGACTGAAAGTCTGGATAGAAGTATAATTCAATTTAGTTATACTTAATAGCAAAACTTTTAGTATTTTAATTTGTTGGAGTTATTAAAATTTGGAGATTGGAACGATTCTATTATTTACTGTAATTTTGCTAGGCTTTAAATATTTATAGCTCTTAGTAAATGTATCTTGTTACAAAATATAATTTAGGATTCTGAATTAAAATATTGAATCTTTAGTTATAATTTAGTAAAAAATATTTATAGCAAGGTTAAATACACTTTAATTATATTATTGTTGTGTCATAACATTTATAATAAATAAATAAATAGATTATTTAAAGTTTTATAATAAAATGTAAAAATATATACAAAAGTATAATGTGGACTTTGATTAAATTTTAACGAATATATCTTCGCATTAGTTTTATATTTTTATATATACCATTATTATGCTTTGCTAAAATTTTAAAAAAAACTTTTACTATGTGATATTCGAATAGCGATATCTCATGATATAATGGTCAGAATCAAACAATTTTGCTACTATTTGATTCATCTTACTGAGATGAATTGAATAGTACTAAAATTGTTTGATTCTTATTAGTGAATCACAAGATATGCCAGGTGTGTTATAATTGGTCCTGCGTTATAATATCCCTATTACTTTATGTTTCAGGTTACTAGCTTGTACTAGTAATTAAATAAAATACTTAATTCTCATTCTAAGGATCTAGACTTCTGTAACACTATATTAATAGAGTGTACATAAAAGGAGCAGTAGCTTAATTTGGTGGTATATGATATGAATATCTAAATTGATATAAAATAACACTCTAGTATAGCAGCAAGTAGCTTGAAATATAAGTCCTATGACTATAGCAGCACCTATTTGAGATATAGATTAGGTCTTTAAAGTAGCTCTTTTAGAGATACCAAACTAAAAGCATGAAAAGCACCTACTCGAGAGACACCAATTTGGAAATAATACAAAAAATGAATTAGGGGTAATATAATAAGTGATGAGAGTAGAAGTTGATCAGTAGATATTGTACAGTAGTATATAAGCAGAATATATATAATTATACATATTGGCAAAACTAAAAATCTTCAAAATCTCACCTAAACCCAAATTCCAATTAGCTAAACTCAAATCCCAAACTAGAAAAGTCCTATTTAAGTTGTTATAATCCCAAACCTTGGTTAAATTCCAAACCTTGGCAAAATCTCAAATCTTGGCAAAATCTTAAACCTTGGCAAAATCCCAAATCCCAATCCCAAATCCCAATTCCAATCCCAAATCCAAATTTCAAATTTTAATTTAAATTCTAATTACAAACTATATTATTAAATATATATTTATTTTGTATAAACAAAATTTTTAATTATTAAATACATCTTTATTTTGAGTAGCATAGGCTATGGGCCAGGTTGTACATGCATGCTTCAAATTGGTATGGAATCAAGTAGTTCGAGTACCAATGCCAATTAAATATAAATCATATATATTTTTTGTAGCAGTTTACTAAGCCAATTGACATGAATTGATAGTACATGAATAAAATAAGTGAGTTAAATAAATTCACAGTCCTTTCTAGTAGGTATTTAATTAGAAGAAGACTAGGTAGTAGTTAGAGTATATATATACCTAAAAACTAAAGTAAGTACAAATGTGCAAAATCTTGCAAAGAATTTTTTTTTTTTAAAATACTATGACTATCAGTTGGGAGAGCAATTATATATGTGATATGATATCACAAAACAATTAAATCAATATCAGTATTATTACTTATAACTTTAAAGTAATCAGAGAGTTTATTATAATAATAATAAGTGATACAAGATAACAATGATAAAAAATAATACAACAGGATCAAATAATATAACTAAACTAAATAAAAATAATATATTTTGTAAAACTTATAATTAAGTTATTATAGTCTGATTAGTATTCTGAAAGAAACTTTACAAGCATGAAAACTTAGTTTTTAAATACATTTTGGATTCTTATAAACTATTGCGCTACAATTGTAATTACCTAATACTGTGATTGTGCGCAAGCCACACAATTCCTATAGCCCTGGCCTTGTTTTATACCAACAATTACTTGAATGACTAACAATCTCATGGCCAACTATAACTAGTTCCGCTATATATTATACGATCTAATACTTATTATATGATTACCAATGCTAAAGTAAATAAAATATTAGAATTGATCTATACTCTAAGCCTTCAGATATAACCATGGCTTAGTTATTTAAGCTTTTTAGTACTACCAAGTCATATATAGGTTATTTAAATTTTAAACTGTAACAATACCTATAGCAGGTTTACTTGCGAGACAATTATAAAAATGACCAAGAATTAAACAAGTACAGAAATAATAGACACAGGAAAAATTAATTATTATAATATATATAATCTTAAGACATCTTTATTTAAATCTAGAAAAATAAAATAAATTTAGAAAATTTTATTTAAAAAAATATTCAACATAAGAGCCTATTAATAATCCTAAAATGTTGATAAAAAATAAAATAAAAATATATATATCTATTAGCTCTACATCTTTGCTTATTTTATTAAACATATAATTGATAATTTTGAGAATTGCCCAGTGTTGCCAAATAAACATTCCACTTTAATATATAGATAACCACCACTTATAGGAATTTAGAAATATTTACTTCTTTGAAAGTTTTGGAAAAATTAATTTTTGGAAATTAGTTCTAGTTATTACATGTCTGAAAACATAAAGTGAAAAGATTTTACTATACTAATTAATATTTATATATGTATAATTCAATATAAAGTATCAACATAAACTTAAATAGGTATTGTAACCAAAATATTCGGTTTTAGGTTGGGTTAGGTCTTTGTTAGAAGAGATTCAAGATGAAGAGGCTTTTATTTAGATAGTTTTTAAAACATGATAGTGGATCATGTCTCTTTAAGAGACAAATTTACATCT